AGACATAAATCATAAGATAGTACTTGTGCGTTATTAAAGACATAATGCTAATGTACTTGTCGCTGGTATATTCTGTGTTCAAAGCTGGAAAAAATTAAAAAGTACAGATATCTTTATCCATTTTATCTTCAGCGTTGGTCGCCATACTGAGATAAGAATGGATAAAGAAATCTATAATTTTTTATTTTTTTCTACTTTGGTTGGATATGAAATATACAGTGACGAGTACATTAGCATGTACATTTTAATCATGGAAAAGGAATTTTTAATCTGTGAAATCACTACGAAGAAATTCGAGAGGGACAAAAAACACTAGTTTTATCGATAATACAGACAGTTCCAGCATTCGCTTAAACCACTTTGATTGTTTGAGTGAAATAGTCCACTTATTACGTAAGAGTAGACAGATTAACTTCAAAGCAGAAAATCCATATACTTATTACTTATAAAGTAATGATTTTGCTATGACTGCACTTTTGTTGGCAGACAAATTTTCATTGTTACAGATTTAGAGTGATACTCTATTAATTAATGTAAAATTCATTATACTAATAACAAGAGATTCAAAATAGATAAGGTTCTTTAAACTGTATTATATATAATATTATTGAGTTATTCTTCTTCCTTATAATAAAATATCAAATAGGAGTAATAAACAATCTTATACATATTAGAATTAATTATGTAATTAATTATACAAGTGAAAAAATATCTGGGTTAGATTAATTATATTACTTTATTTGGAAGACATCGACGAGATACTATTATAAAGACCGACAGTTTTGGGTATCGATTATGTAACTTTTGCTTTAGAGCGGAAATTTGAAAAGTGAAATTTTGATGTATATATGTATGTATGTACATATACAATTATATACACATCATACAAAAAATTTCCACTTTTCACATTTCCGTCCTAGAGAAGAAGTTATATGATTAATACTCCGGGCATTTTCGTGACATATCAATGGGGCTCCGAGAGCCCGGAGATAATTGAGGAACGATGACATTACCAATAACTAATAAAAATTTACGATTATTAACGTAAATATTTCGAGGATTTATTATTAAATCCGTGATTTTTTATTATGTAAATATATATTGTATAATAAATATATATTGTATAAGTACACATACTTTTTATCTTGTATGTTGCCGAAAAATCACAATTTTTTTCTCTGCAGTTATCATCTCATTAATAATTTATAAACTCGGATGATAACATAAAATCATAAGTTTAATTAAAAATCAAGTATTAAGTTTTAAACATATATACATGTCTACAAAATTAATAAATCATGAAATTAGAGAGTTTCGTATTATCAATTTCTTACTCTTAATAACTTAAATTTTAACAGTCACGCGAATTTTTATAAGTGCTGACCGCGTCTTTAATAATATCTCGATGATATATAGATAAACTTATTACAGGCACCGAAACCGGGAAAGGAGAGTACAATAATAAACTTGAAAATGATTAGAAAATCTGAAATTAGAACCATAAATGAGAAACAATAATATAAGAAAATCTGTCTTATATTTATTTATTAACTATAATGACAAATAAAAATTAACATATGCAATATATTGATTTGTATCTATATTTTATTACATTAGTCTTAATGCATGAATTCTGTAATAATATTCTGTCTTTAATAATAAAGATAGAACATTGTTTAAGAATATATATGCACATAAATCAATATGTTGCATGTGTTATTTTTGTTTGCCATTAGTACTATGAAAACATTAATTAGTATTCGTTTATATATTATTTTGTATATATATATTTTGTAATTAATATATTTTGCTTTTAATGATAAAGACAGTATATTGCTATAGAATATATGTATATATTATAAAATACATATAAATGAATACCGATTAATGCTTCCATATACGTATATAGTATCATTGATTTATATTATTATAGTATTATTTATTTACGTATTATTTAGAGATTTCGTTTTGCAATTCTAATTTTTATAGGTTCAGCCATAGATAATACGATGTCCGAATTTAAGTTGATTTTGTCTATCTCAATACTTTGATTTAATTTAAATTCGAACGTTCTTATCAACGTTGCTAAAATAACTTTCATAGACATCATTGCGTATTTCAAACCTGCAAATTTGCCAATTATAAATATTTATCAATTGTAAATCAATTTTATCACGATAAATTATAATTTATTCATATTTACCCATGCAATTTCTTGGTCCATCACTAAAAGGCATGTAATAATATGGCATATAATTTGTTTTTTCTGGAAGAAATCTATCCGGGTTAAATATCATTTGATTTGGCCAATATTTTTCATTTCAATGCATTCGTATAACTACTATAAGAATATCTGCACCTTTTGGAAAAACAAGTTCTCTTGAAACATATTTTTTTATATAAATTTTTTAGTACATATAAACGTTAAGGCTCTTATTAATTCACCACAACTGTCTCATTGTGACATCGGAAGTGAAAAAATATACAATGAAAATTTGTACAAATTATGTTTGCATAAAAAACATTCTTTAATAAAATAGAAAAACAATTAATAAAGAAAATAGGACAATTAATAAGGAAAATAGAAATCAGCGCTGTAAGAGTTGCGCTTCTTCCTTTTAACATACTATAAATATTTAATTTTAAGGAATATTTAATGTTAAATTAAAATAACACGAACTTTCGACTACTTTTTAGTCTTTATTAATGCAAAAAACAAGTGATTGTTGTAACATGTAAATATTACATGTTGTAAGACCGATATAACATAATGTATAATGGCCGCCGAATAATAAATCAATCAATCAAATTCATGTCTAGTAGCAGAATTTTCTCTCTAACGTCTTATCGATGTCGTTAGTTAACAATATAGAAACAATCATTGATAAGATATTAGAGAATCCAGCTAAAGGATCTATTGATGTAGCGCAACCTGATGAATCAGCATAACCTTCAGCGCGTCAATCTTGGATTTAAGCGATTAATAAAAAGATTGTATATTAATTATTAATACTATTTTATCGGTGATAATATATATGTATGATAAATTTGATAAAAATTTCTATAAGATGGTGTCACAATCCATTTGACGTGACGCCCGAAAAGTTTCACTCTTTAAACATCTTCACGTCAAATTTCAGACAGAAATGATGTATCGTTTACATTCGGTAATTGTTTGAAGCACACAATTTAGCAGTTGTCACAAAAATGAAACAAAACGAATTCTGTGTAGTTCACACGAATTAGACTCAAATTTAGGAACTGGAAAAAATTGTACGGGGTTAAATCCAGAGAAGAAAATGAATGAGGAATCAATTCGAAGTCCAATTCGTGTAAATTGCACGGAAATCGTTTTTTTTTTTTCATTTTTGACAATTGTTAAATCGTTTGCTTGAAACGACTGCGAATGTGATACGTGTTACTTCTGGCCGAAATTTGGTCTGGTTAATAGAACTTTTTCAGTTATACACGTCACTAAATAGATTGTGATACTATTTCATAGAAATTTACTAAACTTTATCAAATAGTCCTCGTAATATAAAAATGTACATTTTCTGCAATATGTAGGGTGTTCCACAATTCGTGATCGAAATTTTAAAATATATTCCTGACTTAAAAGTAAGACAAAAATCCTAATATCAAAATATCAAGGCTGTGATAGTTTTTAAATTAATAGCAGTTAAAGTTATATAACTAATCATAGAGCTGATATTTCGCGCGCTCAGAGATGGTACATGAGAAAAAGTGTTGCAACTTTTCTATGACCGGCTGTACATCACACAAGCGGATGTTCGTACGCCTATGTAATATGTTCACCCTATATGAAATTGAAGTAATAACGTACGTATACACATACAATAAAATTGAAATATTTCACCAATCATGTTTAAATAGAAAATAATTACATATGCAACGCAACATATAATATAAAAATATTACAGGATATTAAAAATAATGAATATGTAAAACAAATTATTTTAAATATGTATAACAATTAATTTAAAAACTATTACAACAGCTTGAAATTTTAGTATTAGGATTTTTATTTTATTATTTTTATAAGCTAGGAATACGTAGTTATTAAAACTTTAATCACGAGTTGTAAGACACTCTGTATAATACAAATAAAGTTTGTATATTTGGCAAATTTAAATTGTTTTACTGTTTTATGTGATCAATAGATATTTTCTTAGTTATATACATTTCTCATTTATGTAATATTCAACTATAAATGTACAAATTTCTTTCTTTTTATTATATTAGATGATAGAGTGATAAGAAGCAACAACCTGTTGAAATGAGATTTGAATATTTAGGCCGGTATTCATAGTTCTTATATTCAAGATCGTCTTAAGTTCAGTCTTAAGATATTACGAATCAATCAGAGGGCCGCATTAGTGACATTACTTAAGACGGTCTTGAAATTAGAACCGAATATGAATACCGCTTTAGTTTGTATAGTTTTGATAGCGCTATTATTTTGTATTGTAAGAACAAACTCTAACCAGTTTGTAGGGCCGCGACCCGATTCACGTTCACAACGCTTAAAAATCATTTCATCCTTTGTCAAATGTTAAACGAAGACAAATGATGTTTATGAGTGTGTCAGCATGAATCGGACCACGGCCTAGGAGTATTATTTATATCGTATCAATCATATACGGGCATCTTTCGTGACAACGCTTGTAATATACAGATAGAAAAGAGAACAGACTAAATTGAAAATCTCAATTTGAGACAGCAGTGATGAGTTCGCAGTTGTCTTAACGATGAACGGTTTTTAATAGTATCGCCGATATTTTATAAATAAAATACAACTGAAAATTTGCATAAAGAAACATAACTTCGTAATTTGATAAGATATTATAAGAAAAATATTATACAAGACAAAATTCACTAAATTAACTTGTTTGAATTTTCAGTTTTGTTTATTAAAATTCAACAACTTTTATTTACGTATGTAGGAGATGCAAACTGCGATTTTAATGATATCATCCGAGTTTAATTATCAATAGAGATGATAATTGCAGAGGAAAAATTGTAATTTTTCGGCAATATATAAGATATTATATCACTAAAAGTATGCATATTTATTTGTACAGCATTTATAATAAAAAAATTACGAACTTAATAACCATCGAAATATTGATGTTAATATAATCATAAATTTTTGTTAATTATCTGTAATGTCATCGCTCTTCAATTATCCCCGGGTCCCATTGATAGTCACAAAAATGTTCTCAGAACCGAGGCTCTTTAATATATTATAGTATCTATATCGTCGTACTCGGAGATTTAGTATAAAGAGGAACCACATCTACTTTTGACGATACGATTTTATAGGTAGTGTCAGAAAATGTATGTAGTCACGTAGTTGCCAAACTGAAAATGGATGTACTGGCGGTAGTGTACATGCGATTTCGATGGTAACAGGAAAAAGGCCGATATGGCCTCTCTCAAGTTTCTCTCTGGCATAACTAAAGCATGTAGGGATGTAAGCAAGTACGAATAGGTAAGAATATCGTGATTCACATGATGTATTTTGTCTTAAATTAAATTCATTGAATTAGAAGAAGAAGGTTCGAGAAGAAGTTAAAGAAAGAAATCTATCAAAAATTCGAAAATTTACTTATGAGATTCGACCAGTTAAGTATACTTGATATCTAAATACCGGCTTTTTTGTTATGTGAAAGAAGTCGACTAAATACGGATATACTCTGATGTGAAACTTGTAAATAAAGGATTCAAGATGAGACTGGTAATTATAATTATTTTAATTAAAATTTCATTGTAGTTGACAGAGCTGCAATTGCTTTTTATTTATAATCTGTAAGTTTGTAAATATAACCTTAAACTGCGAAAGTTTTTTGGTAAGGAAAAATTAGAGGTTTATATTTGATATAAAGAAACTAGGATATTGTTAGAGGAATAATAATTATAAGCGGAAATTCATCATTATTAAATTGACGATCAGTATAATTTATGATACATTTTGGAATTGTTTCTATTATTTAACAAATAATCAATATTTAAAAGTTCTGTATTGTATATAAAATTAATCTATTAGCTTCATATTCCTAGTATAATGAAGAATTAGACAAAAATAACAATATCCAGTTCTTCAAATTGATACATTTTAAGAATTAATTGACAATTTGGTTTTTTTTAGTATTGTCTGTCCAGTGAACCAACAAAGCCATGCTTAGTTCTAACTTTCAAAGGAACCACGCTGATGTTGGATTGTGGTTTAAATATGCAATCCATTTTGCATTTTATGCCTTTGCCCATGGTACCTAGCAACAAGTTTAATTCCTTGCCAACGTGGCTACCGCGCAATGATAATCAACAAGATTGGCAAATTGAGGGAGTTAGTGAGATAGAATTTAATTATTTAATTCTTTTCAAGATATTAATTGTTAAATTATTTTAAACAGTAATTGGAAATAATTAATAATAAATTATTTTTATTTTTAGGAGTTGAAAGAATGTTGCGGTAGAGTCTTTGTAGATTCAGTTCCAGAGTTCACTCCTCCTTTGGAGAAAATAATTGATTTCTCGGAGATTGATGCCATTTTGATATCCAACTATACATGTATGCTCGCGTTGCCGTTCATAACGGAAGGCACAGGTTTCAAAGGTATAACAAGTGTATGTAAATTGATACACTTTGATAAAAGTTATATACAGATATGAGCAAAAGGGCTATTATCTTGAAAATGGTGATAGATGTGGCAAAATGTCACAGGATTATTTCAATTCCTCTTTACAAGAGTTATGAAAAAAAAAAAGTCTTGTGTGTGCATTGGAGCCGTATATATCACTGTTATTGAAGAAACTCTCAACATCTAAAAATCTGATTGTAATTTTTTTGGCAAAGAGTGTATATGTGTATGTATACAGGGTGTTTGACAACAAGTGGGAGAAAATTTAAAAAGTGATTCTCTCTAGATGATAAAATAAGTTAAAAATAAAAAGTAACGAAATTGCGAATTTGACTTCATTTTTTTATATACATATGTGAACGTTAAAACATTTATAATAAGAAGCGAAACTGAATTTGCAATTTCATTTTTGATTCTCCTCGTCTTATTTTTATTAACTAGAATTTTTTAATTTTCTTCCATCTGTTACCAGATACTCTGTGTATGTATTAATCTATAAACACAATGATTTGTAGGCATAATATATGCTACCGAACCGACGTTGCAAATCGGACGGTTTTTTATGGAGGAATTAGTAGAGTTCATCGAGCGGACTCCTAAAGCAACAATGGCCAAACATTGGAAGGATATGTTACATACGTTGCCATCCCCATTAGCTGAGGTTGTTAAACCAAAATCCTGGAAACATATTTATTCCATGTCAGCTGTGAATTCGGCGCTATCAAATATTCAAATGGTTGGATATGATCAAAAGCTGGTAAGTTTAAGACACGTGCAGATTAACATATTAGTTTTTATATGAAATGTTGAGTTCATAATAGTCAATTTTTAGGAAACTAATAAGCAATGATTTTTAGAAAATTTTTTCCTAGAGCAAACGAATGTAACTGGAAATATTGAATAATGTTTTAAATTCACAGTTACACATATTTAGAGACAAGTACTTTTTCTTTTTTATAAACTCAAAATTGCTTCACAATCAGTGATTTCGATAGATAACGACCCAATAATCACATTCGAATTATACTTGCAGGATATATACGGTGCTTTAATAGTGACACCAATCAGTTCGGGATTTTGTTTAGGTAGTAGTAATTGGTTGATCTCTAGCGACCATGAAAAAGTTGCTTTTGTCAGCGGTTCGTCTACACTGACTACTCATCCAAAGCCTATGGATCAAGTTACATTGAAGCACGCAAATCTGTTGATTTTGACGGGCTTAACACAAACGCCAACTGCTAATCCAGACACAATGCTTGGGGAATTGTGCATGACTGTTGGTAAGTATAATCTCAATATCTGATAAATTGCGATATACCCAGCAAAAAGATGATCTCTTGATATTTTGATTAAAATCATATTTCTTAGGAGAATTAACAAATGATAAAATTAATTTATGTTTTTCTGACAAAATTGTTTTCTTTATTAAGTGCATTATTATTCGGATTTTTTGTCGCTGGTTATTTTCTGAATATATAATGTATATTTTTGAACAAAAATATAATTTAAGTAATGATTTTATCTTACCTCGTAAAAATATTGCAGCTGTGACTCTTAGAGCTGGTGGATGCGTCTTGATACCTTGTTATCCCTCTGGCGTGGTGTATGATTTATTCGAGTGTCTGAGCACTCATCTGGATAAGTCAGGCTTCACGCAAGTGCCTCTATTCTTCATCTCGCCTGTGGCGGAGACATCCTTGGCTTATTCAAATATTCTTGCTGAATGGTAATCAATGAAGTGATTCTAAAATATTTCTGATGTATTGCATTCTATTATTTTTTATTTTTTATTTTACTATCATTTTTTACTTTTAGGCTGTCAACAAATAAACAAAACAAAGTTTATCTTCCAGAGGAACCGTTTCCACATGCTTTCCTTGTGAAGAATGCTCGATTGAAGCATTATACATCTACATACGCTGAAGGATTTAGCAGTGATTATCGACAGCCTTGTGTTGTCTTTTGCGGCCATCCCAGCCTTCGATTTGGCGATGCCGTGCACTTCGTGCAGTTATGGGGCGGCAATCCTTTGCATACCGTAATTTTTACCGGTAAGTCTACATAATTCTATTCAGAAAATAATGCAATAAGTTTGCGTTTGCAATTTTATGTTGGGTAAAAATCCTAGAAATAGGATAAATTATTCAATTAATATTGGCTCCATTACGGTGGTTGAGCCTTTTCTAAAAATTCACTCTTTACGAATATTTGCAAATAAGTATTTTATATAATGTGATTGTCACATATACATTTTTTGATAAAAGAACCAAGGAAATTTCTGTAAGGACCTCTTGCTCTTACTTCATGCACAAATTACGAATTTAAAAATCTATAGATATATATGTGGGATGTGGAATCTAGCGCTCGAAATTAGATAAATATTAAATATCAAACAAATATATGTAGGGCATAAAATATATAGATAACATTAAACATCTCTTCCTAATATTGCGATAGTTAATACAAGCTGCATTGTATTATTTTCTTAGTATTTTTATATCCATATATAGTATATATCCATATACGATTGCATATATTTATTTCCATTACGTTTTATTAATATTTTCTTTTGTAACACATTATTTGTATTTATATAATTTTCTTATAGAACCTGATTTTCCATATTTGGAAGCCCTCGCACCTTTTCAACCATTGTCAATGAAAGCAGTGCACTGTCCCATTGATACTTCTCTGAACTTTACTCAAGCTAATAAACTCATTCGAGACTTGAAGCCAGAGCACTTAGTAATTCCGGAGGTTTACACACAGCCTCCCGGAATGGCACCGCATAGAACGGATCTTGTCATCGAATCCATTGGGGTAGATATACGTTTTTTATTTTAGTAATGAAAAATTTCTCATTTTTACATAATTTATGTTTACAATTCTCTGTTTTGTATTCTTTCTTTACTATATTTATAAAATATGTATATGTATTTAAAAAAAATATCCTATAAAATAACTTGCATAATTACTTTGTTCAAGGAAAAACCCTTGATTACTTTTAAACGCGGAGAGGTGATAAAATTGCCATTAAAGCGGAAGAAGGGCCGCGTGTTTATTGAGCCGGAATTAGCTAGCAATATTGTACCGAGTGAAGTGCGGCCTGGCTTGAGTCTCGCATCTGTTACCGGCGAGCTTGATGTCAAGGACAATGTGTATACTATAAAAGTAATTACTAATATGTATAAAGATAAATATGAATTTCATGGTCAAGATAAATATTACGACATGCTCTTTTGTAGATATTTTCAATTAAAGAGATTTACTGGGAGAAAAAAAATGCAATATATTTGTTTATACATAATTTCGTTTCTAAATATATAACATTTATAGAATGTAGAGGATAAACTGACTGGAAAGAGGAAAATGTCATTGGGTTCGCCTGCGCCAATCATGGAGGAAGTACTGAAGGAGAGAAAACATGAGTACGGGAATCTGGATCCACAAGAATTGCTGCAAAAGCTTAATCAGGAAGGCTTTCATGGAGCCAAATTACAACATAGTCCCACCTCTACGAGTATTCATTTGGTATGATTTGATATCTCATGGACTTTTTCAATATAAATATAGAAAATAATCTTTTCTGATTATATAAAATGATTATATAAATATAATGAATATAATTAAGAGAATTAATGTCTACTTGCAGCAAGACGAGGACACTCTGATTCAAATCGGAGACAACTCTACGCACATTTTCTGCAACGGCGATCAAAAGATCCGTAAACGTCTAAGGAGTATAATAATGCAGTGTCTGAAAAGATTTTGAGGTACGATATACATTTATAGTATTCTAATATTCTGTGAGACAATGTTTTATACTGCTATATCGTATTGTATATACATTTATATATAATTTATTGTTTCAAAGCGTGTATATATTTATTTGTTTCATCATTCATTTTTATTCTATCTATGGCATTAACTTAGGAATTATTTCTAAATTGACTATACTAGAAAAGATTTTTATTATCTAATTATATTAAATAAGGGGCAGTTTAAATACTTTCAAACATAATACTTTTGACAAACTTAACATACATTTGGCAATAATATATCTAATAATGTTTTCCTACATATTTAATAACATAAGTCAAATTTCAGTTTCTATTATTGCTAATAAGTGATTGAAATTTGTTAAATTTGCATTTGAATATCATTAAATAATTTTTATTGTAGATAATACATATTAAGATCTGTATATATAAGTACAAACAATGCGATGTAAATATATGGCGATTGGCAAATCAAATGTAAATAATGAAAAAAAATTGGAATCCTAATCCTTTACAATAATAGTGTAATAAGTGTACAATATTATTTTAATGATTTACATTCTAGAATGACTAATCTCTTGCTGCATTCTGAACGAACAAGAAACCTCTATCATTTCATATGCATGTGTTATATATATTTTATATGTTCTATGCAAATGACAGCAAAATTATCAAGATTCTAAGATTCTTTTCGTATATTATATTCCATACTGTGCGCAAATTTACAGGATAGAATAAAAATAAATAATATACTGAAGTGATACATAAATTTCAATAAATCTCAATGCTATAAATAATTTTTTTTATTTTAGATGTCTAGAAAACATTAGGGACTTTCATTTGTTTGATGTATTAACTCTAAAGAGGATAACGATGAGTAAAGTTTATTCTACTCATTGATTTTAAAATATATTGGTCTTAAAATAGTTTATATAAACTATTTAATTGAAATTATTCCGTTATCTATTGTTATTTTAGGATCTCTAAAAGAAGGAAAAATATAAGCAATTCTACAATACAAGAATAAGTTTTACTCATCGCTAACAATAGTGACAGACTAAAAAATAAAGATATTTATCTAGGATTATTAAGCGTATTTCGCGCGACCCATTTCTTCAATACGTTGATCTTGTTTCTTACCTCGTCCATGATTGTATTGTTATACTCATCGACGACATTATCATGTGCGTCAATAGTAGTGGAGCAGCTGTCTTTTGACGCGACATGGATGTCGATCTTTCTCTTGGTTGTATTCAGAATGCAGCAACTTATTACCTAGTTAGCTGTGGCGATACCGATGGCGACTCCCGCCACATACGAAACTAGAAAGAAATGGAATTCCGTTGGCTGGAAGCTATCGTCGCCGCCGGTCAACATATGGTACCAGCGCCGCGTATAGGTCTTCCCTTGTTTCAGCAATCGCTCGGCTTTATCCAGCTTTTTATCGACGAATCTCTCGGCCTAGAATGCAATAATGTTCATCAGTGACTCGGCGTTACATCGAAGCGGAGTTGGTAAAATCTGCACACCATAATTAATTTTATTAAATATTTTTATTGGGGACTATACAAAAATTATAATGATATTGATATATAAGTTTCATTTGACATTAAAATTAATATTGATATTAATTGCCGTATTAAATTTTAATATTGAATTAATATCATTCAAATATGAATTCTGTAAACGCAACAGTAATATGTATGATGACAACATACTAAACGTTCGTTCATATTTTCGCATAAAACTTCAAAGTTATTGTTCTTTACTTCACCAAGACAGACCGATAATGAAACCGCCAAGAAAACTCGTGGCAATGTATGAGTTCTTCCTCCATAGTATCCCTACCTGCAAACAACAGTAGGAACATTATATTTAAAAAATTGTAAACTAAAAAATTATAAACAAGCAAAAATATTTCCTATAATTAGGAATGATTAAACGCAAGCAATTTGTTAAGTTACAGAGTTCGAAATGATCTCGGTTTAAAAATAATCATATTTTAAAAAATATGTATTGTTTCTAGGAAGAAGTTAAAAAAGTATAGAAAACTTTCAATCTTTAACTCAGTTTAGAGAAACTACAAAATCTTATGCAGCAACCTAACATTTGTCTCACCTTATCCATGAAATTTGGCCCTTCGCCGGTAATTTTTTCTTCCACCTTATCTGTTATTTTTTCAGCTTTACTCATAATCTTTTCCCAATTAATTTTTATGTAACCCTGATGTGCAGCTATTTGCAGCATGATGATTCCACCACCGACTGCACAGGCTGCCACCTTCCCAATCTTCATGGTGACGAATCCAGTTACCCTAAGTTACAAGGCAGTTAGTATGGAAGATGTGTCTAATAAGTGTTAAACGTTTAGATACTTGAGAAATAAACAATTATGACACAATTAAGGCGTACCATCCTGATGTGGTACCAATGATTATCTGTTTGGTCGCCGAAGATTTGCTCACATCACCCATGATTTTCTCTAAAAAAGATTTGGCTTCCTGTGAGGCATCTATACTATAGGCTTCCTTGTTGGCGTCTTCTTTACTCTTTTTGAGTATTGGCATCTTGATCCTGAAAAAAAAGAAGTATGTAAAAATACAACAAAGAATTTATATCTTTAAAAGATTCGATAATTCATGTAACATTGCTCAGTGATCTTATAAGGTTAGTATAGCTTTAAAAAAACTCCTATTACATAAATTTTATGATTAAAAAGTCGTACATGTGAGTGAAAGAAGTATCAATGTAGAAAGTTTTATATACTTAACTGAGATACGAAAAGATGTTTCAACTATCAACTCTATTTTTAAATTTGGAGTAAAATCAAATAAAAAATAAATTCCTGATTATTCCTAATAACAGTTATTCCATTAACCTTTAAGTGAGTAAGTGAAGTAGCCACAGTACTCCTCAGGTATAGTTTTTTTTTAATCTTATTCTGGAAAAAGAAAACAAAGTATTTCCCAGAAGTCTTAAAGTTTATTATTCTTACATTCATCTATCTCATAAGATATGAAATCTAATTTACAATGTGCTCTTTGCTTCTCGTTTTTTCCATATTTTAATCTTGCCTTCTTGCCTCTTATCCTGTTTCTTTGTTTTCTGTCACTTGAGATAAAAGTTGCTGAACTTTAGAAACGACAAGAAATATACAGTAAATCATTACATTCTTGTTTGTGACGTTAAACAAGGATAAAATGATTCACTTTGTTCTCGCTAGAAAATATCTATGATTGTCGATAAAATGATTGATAAGAAGGAAAAAGATAAGATAAAAAGCATGAAATGGAAAGCAAAGAATACATTATAGATTAGACTTAACTAATGTAAATTTAACCATAATATAATATACTAGTAAAAAGTATAACTGTAGAATTACAATTTTTTGGAGATGTTCCTACTCGTTACATATCTTTTCTCTAAATTTATTGGAGTGAAATCTTGTTTTGAGCTAAGCCAGTCTTGGAAAAACAGACTCAATTTTCAATCTTTAAAAGTGAGATTTTCACTCTGAAGGTTTTAAAGAGTCTTCGGTTTTAGAGTCTGGTTTTAGAGAGATCTACTTAAAGGTTAACAACTATTCAGTAATCATAGTAACAAAAGGATCACATGAGAAAACAGACGTTGGAAGTCGAAGTTATTCTCATTCTCATTTGTGACGCAATAAAGTAAATGAAAACATAATTATATCGATGACGATGTTTCGGAAAGAAGTCACAGTGACAGAAAGGGAGAAGGAAAAAGAAATGTCGCGGAATATCAAGGAATCCCTGTGAAATCCCAATTGGCTGTAACATTCAACGAATTTTCCGGGGAAAAATTAAACGATAAAGGGCTCTATCGTTTGAAGTTTCCTTATTCTCGAGCGGAAGACACTTCTATTCGGCATGAGTATCGAGCGTGTTTTTAGGTGTATGACGAGTCGTCTCGCGGGTGGAAACGTTTTGCTTAGATCTACACAACATTTCGATAAAGAAATTTACCTATTCGACAATAAATTTTCGCAGACGATGACGGATGCGACGACGTCAGTTGAGCGACTCGTCAGATCAAAATAAATTGACGTAAATACGGTACTATAATTTGGAGGGAGCCAGACGGCTCCCGAGAATCAGTTTGCTCGTTTTAGTTGCACCTTCTACACCTTGCTTGTCTCTGTTCCTCTTTCCTTTCATCTCTTGCTTCAACCTGAAACGTATTGTTTTTTTTTGTAATATTTATGTTTTTTAATATATAACATATTTAAATCTATTTCTATTTGATCTTTTTTACGTTTAAATTCGAATATTTAATTTAATCTTTATTTTTATTTACTTTAACTTAATTTATTAATTAAACTCCTAAAACTTTTCTTCTTAATATTTATATCTATTATAATTTAATTAAATACTAATATTATAGTATATTATCTATTTTTATATTTAGTCTTTTTATATTAATATCTGATATTTTGTTTCTTAGTCACTTTAAATATCAATTAAATTTATCACAATTTTTTTCTAAAATATCTATTTCTCGATATATGTAATATTCATCGTTAATTCTCGACAATCAAATGTCACTTTAAAAAAATAGTTAACATTGATCGAATACACCGACAAGACACTAAAGACTGATATCCTTACGGAAGTTCGCGTCCTTGTGAATATTGAAGTAATTAAGAGTTAAAAACTGATAATATTGTATTAATTTTATGATTTATTAGTTTAGTAGACGTATTTATACATTTAGAACTCGATCTTTCTTTAAAATTATGATTTCAATGCTATTGTCAAAATTTGATTATCAACAGAGATGATAACTGCAGAGAAAAAAATTGTAATTTTTCTGCAATGTATAGAATATTATAGCTTTACAAGTATACATATTTATATATGGAACATTTATGTAATAAAAAAATCATGAATTTAATAATGTATGAGCCAAATAATTATGTTAATAATAGCAAATTTATATCATTTATATCATTTTACACCGCCGAAAATTTGCCTAGGGTTGACGGTCTTTAATAGTATCTCGTCGGTGTCGAATAACGAATTAATTTTCTCGTAACTTATCGCATTCAAATCTACCGCGCTCGAAACTTAGAAATGGCTGATTTGATTCGGCCACGCTCGGCGTCGTTCGGCCGCGCTCGGCATTCGTCGGCGTTCGTGAGCCGGTCGACCGGCGCGACTCGCGTCTTGCTTCATGCCGCTCGTACGTGATCGCGTGCAGTTCGTATCGTTGCCGTTGTCGCTGCTGTCGCTTTTGCGCCGCCGTCGCCGTCGTCGCCGCTGCTGCCGCCACCACTATCATCTCGCTGATAAACTCTTCGCGATGCGGTGACGGCGCCGTGGGATTGACTCGCGTATAATCGCGCGCGCGCGCGCGACTTCCTCGTCGTAGGTTTCGGAGTCGTCGTCGTGCGTGCGTGATATCCGTCTCGCGCGTGTCGCGGATGTCTTAACGCGCGTGTCTTAACCGCGACAGAGCGTGTGTAAGATGGCACAGGACACCGACGACATCAACCTCACGCCGCAGGAATTGCAGACGCTGTCGGAACTGGATAGGTAATTAACTCCACCCGGTTCCACGTACACCTCTGCGGTGTTCCCGGTCCCCCGCGACCGGGATTAATATCGTTGTTTCCGTTCTATCCAGACGAGTATCACGACTATCACGTCACGAGTATATAACCTAAAAAAGCGCGTTTGACAGCGCGCTTGTGCGCAACCTACTGACACCGTTTTCGCGTTTCCGTCTGTACCACATTCCGTGGACTTGTCGCGAAATCTCGCCGCGATAACAATGCGCGCGCGGAGCCGAATGGCCGGCGTCTTGATTATTAAATCGCCGGCACGATCGCCGATAATAACGATCGACATAAACACATGCGTTCCGCACGAGTCTCTCGACCGGGCGGAATGCGCGCGTAAATGCGGTATAGTACATCGTGAAACTGAAGGCACTTTCTCTCTTGTGTGCATGCACAGCCGGCAGTTCGGTTTCCTCAAGCTCAACTCGCCCGAGCAGGCGAAGAGGAAGGCCCTGGTGGTGCGTGCCATCAAATATCTGGAGCGTATGCTGGTTCAGGCCCAGGCGGAGAAACAACGTAGGAAAGCTGATAGTACAAAAGCGTGCCCGGATGATTCCAAGGAGAATGAGGATGAAGATAAGGGAATAAGCATCGATCCTAAGACGTACTGCAAGCTGGGACACTTTCATCTACTTCTAGAAGATTATAGCAAAGGTATAACTTCCTTTTTACAGTATACCTTGTCATAAAACTGTCGGGAATGTTTCACATTTGTTTAAAATTTAGATTAATTTGTGAATCTTATTTAAATCAAATTCTATTTTATAATTGAAGATGTTTTGTCAAGCAAACAAAATTATCTTCTTTAATTCTTCTTGATTTAGAAAAAAATAAGTATTTGTTTTATAAATAAAGTGAGATATTAAGGAAGATTATAGCAAAAATGTAGCTTCCTTTCCGTATTATTTTTTTCTATAAAACAGTTGATGTTTTATGTCTGTTGAAAAAAAAATTTAGGCTAATTATATATTAGTTATTTAATTCAAATTCTATTTTACAATTGAAAATGTTCTTTCTAGCAAATAAGATTATCTTTTTTTTATTGTTTTTTATTCTAAATAAACACTTGTATGAATCAAATAATAAAGAATTTTACTGAGTAATTTTAAACGTGAGATATGTATATTATATCAATAGTTAGAGGAAACCTATCAAAACAAATGACAGGAGGGCTTCCTAGGGCTTCAAATTCCATTGATTTACTGTATATTTCCTCTCACTTTTAAACCTTATCTTGAGTAAAACAATTTTCGTTCTGTTTGTATTAACGAGCAAACCTGCTTTGATGACTATCCTCTTTTTTTTCTTGTTACAGCAATGTCGGCATATCAGAAATTCTGCTCTTTAAAAGGTGACTACTGGAAGGATGCTTCATTTCTGTATGGACTGGGTCTTGTTTACTTCCACTTCAATGCCTTCCAATGGTGAGTGTGAAATAATTTTCTTTTTTTAATATGCTTTTTTAATATTGCTCTGCAAAGGAACGATGAATTCTATTACAAAAGTCATGTAATTCGATGCGTGAGTGTATCTTGTGATCCTAATTTTATATTAGGTAATTAAGTAAGGTAAAATAAAATTAATTGTGAATTGATTAATTGAAATAAAGAGAGAGAGAGAGAGAGAGAGAGAGAGAAATTTAATGAATAATAAATTATAACAAATTTCAATAAATTAATATTTATAATTAATAAAAACTGATTCTATTAAACTGGCATCTATTCCATTAAATAAACTTGATATTTTTTAATTAAAATTTATTACAAGGATATTAAAGTTATTAAATTCCAAACCTGAAGCAGAATATTAATAAAATTGCAATAAAATATATAAAAATACAATCTCTTGGCTGTTTAGTCTTAAATTTTGCAAAAAAATGTTTTAAATTTCTTATTTTTTAATGTCTTTTAAATAGATTTATTGACGAAGAATTTATATTTTATATTTATTGGTTTTTGTATTAACATTGCTAAGATAAGTTGCAGGAGATTCTACGCTCTCATTTTATTTAAAATAGAAAGTGATAGCTAAAACGAACATCCATATGAGCTACGGGGGTGTAAAACGTTTGGTTTTACTTCTCGTGCGTAATTGTAAACGTAGAGTAAGGTCCCGTGGTTAAGTTAGTCGGCTAGCTCCTAGGCAAGCTACGTAAGGGCGAAGGGCCCAACCGACGGACGGCAAACATGGCCGACATAAAAAAATTCCGCAATCTCTTGCAAGAGTTGCTCGCCTTGAGAAGGGGGCGTCGGCCCTTGCACGACGTACACACACGCAGAGTTCATCGTTCCCGTGCAGCCTCTCTCTCCGTGCATCCTCTGTTTATTTTTTAATTTTGTATCGTACACGTGACACCATCACTCGCCGATAAACAGCAAGCTGCCCTTTCGGGCGCCGATAAGGTGTGGGTTCGAAGGTCGATAAAGTCGCAAGCATTTCGGTTCACTGATACCGGTTCTATCAAAGTTTTTAATCTCGGTTTAATTTACTCTTTCATCTTTTTTAAATTCTTAGAACTAGAAAAGATGAAGAGTTAGTTAAACCGAGATTAAAATTAAAACTGCATTAAAACTGCAAGTAAGAAAGAGGCATGAGAGAGTTTTACTTTATTTTGTTCTATAAAAAGTTTATTAACGTTAAATTCTTGACTAAGCAGAATCAACAAGTAGATTTCATACATATATATGTATAAAATAATATAAAAAGATCAATGTCTATAAGGACTTAACACTGGCTGTTTATGAGTTTCTTACTTTTATTATGTGAAAATGTAAATATATAAATATGGTAGAGAACGCCAATGACCGGTCAAAGTTTAAATCAGTTTAGATGTTTCGAATAATGCAATATATATTCTTTTTAAATCAATTTATCTCAGATATGACTACCTAGCAAACGAAAATGGATTGAAATGGATTGGAAATTTTCAATCCATCCGAATCCGTATTTTAAATCCATAAAAATGGATTGTATTTAATATAAAAAAATTTTTATACATGTAGAAGTTTTTTAAATAAATTAAAGTAGTAATTACATGAAGTTCTATAGTTATTATTTTAAAATTATAATACAAAAAATATACGCTAGCTGTATAATAAAGGAAGGAAACAGTATAAAATATACATAAAAGCGATTAATTTATTAATTACAAATAAGGAATTTATATATGTCACATTTAATATACATATTTACGTAGTTTTATGTTTTTTTTTTAATTATTAAATGAAGAATTATGATAGAATTTATGATATATTTTTACGGTACAACTATTTTTTCACTCAATTGAATTAAAACGAAAAACTTCTTATTTATAATTCTGAATAAAGTAGCATTCATGATGCATTTTTAAATGAAACAATGGATTTTCTACTCACAATTTTGAATTGAAAATATTTATGGTCCATTTTAAAAGAAAAATTGTTTTTTATTCAATTCGATTAAAAAAATTGCATTTCCTATTCAGAATTTTGAATTGAGCAGTATTCACGATGCACAGAAATGGATTATTTTTAGATTCAACTGGATTGAATTTTATTTCCTATTCAGAATTTTGAATTAAGCAGTACTCACGATGCACAAAATATTATAATATTATTTTTAGATTGAAAAACAGAAATATACTCCATGTCATTTATATAAATCTTGAATAAAAATGCATTCAAGATTGGAAAGGAAGAGACATTTGTTTTATGCAATTTTTATAAATGAATAAAACTGCATTCAGGAATGAAAAGGATTCATTTTGATATTCATGAATCCGTATTTCTGAAAATCTAAATCCATTTCAATCCATTTCAATTCACCCTCGTTTGCTGGAATGTGCCCCGAAACCTTTGAACTTTCAACACAATCAATCTGAAACGCTAATAATTATTTCTGCCTAAATTAAATTAGAAAAACTGTAAAGAATTTATATTGCGAAAAATATTATCTCAGCTATGATTCGAATTTGAGATCTTAATATAGGAATGTCCGAATGTTTCGAATGTTAATAAAGAATATATATACGTATTATATTCGAAACATCTAAGTTTTGACTATTCATTGGTATTTACTCTATACTATTTATAGAGTTATCACAGATCTAGAAAACCGGGAAAATCGAGAAAAGTCAGGAGAAAATGTAAAAAAGTTTGAAATTTTAAAATTTGCTTACAATTTCCTTAAACTGCTCTTATTCCAGATAATTGTCATAATTTTTTAATATTATATCTGACGTTTATAGTGAAATACATTTAAAACTTGCACACTTTAAACGATTTTAATAAAATAATTAAAATTATATTTTATTCAATATTTTTATTTGATCGCCCTTTTTCGTAACTGCATTCTTTTTTCCAATACTAACTTATTTTTTATTGGCTCGAATTTGCACCCAAAATTTTAGTATGCTGTTAAGCCTTTTTTAAATAATATTTTTAATAATATAGGCGAGATTTTTCCTACAATTCTTTAAATGTGTTAAAATTTACATATTTTACATTGGAAAGTTTTCCATTTTCATCTGGAAAACCTAGAAAAATCAGAGAAAAAATTTTTAAAATTTTTGTTCTGTGGCAACCTTTATCATGTATTTGTATACAAACATCGTACAGGTCGTTCTTAGTCTTAAAAATATAAATGTTTCGACCATAAGTTTAGGTCATTTTCGAATTATGCAAAATTATGCAAAGAACATTAATTACATCTTAAACATTAAACATCATCTCAAAAAAACTAAATTACAATTATAATATATGAAACTGAAATAATATTACATTTGATCTTATCTATACAACACATTATAATTGCAATTTACTTTTTTTAACATCTTCAACACCACATTTATGCGTGCGACAACAGTAATCTTTTTACGAAACATATATTATCCAATTTATAATTTTGCGACACATTTATGAGATGATTTTTAATGTTTAAGATGTAATTAACGTATACATACATTCTTTGTATCACCGATGAGATACTATTAAAGACTGTCAACCCTGGGCAAATTTTCAGCGGTATAAATTTGTTATTATTAACATAAATATTTGGTTCATACATTATTAATTTATGATTTTTTATTACATAAATGTTCTATAAATAAATATGTATATTTGTAAAGGTAGGAAGTGTACATACATCTCATAGCGTTTGCCGCGTTACTTACGGTCGGTAATTATTTCTTATGATAGTGTGACTGCGGTGTCGACCGACAGATGTCTCTCATGTCGCGCGAGCGACTCGGCGACGTGCCTACGTGCCGAACGGCGGTGCAGTCATGGCGGCGCCGCCGCCACTTGATTGGTGCAGGGTGTTGCGGGGTGCGGGTGCGGGTCGCGGAGGACGATAATAGGCCAAATATGCACGTCTCTCGTGGAACCGAAATAGAATTTCAGGAGCGCCGTATGCTCGTATATACGTAACTCCAGCCATAACGGCGGGGGCGGCAGCGAGACCGCTACGTGTAAACAAACTCCGGCGGCGAAATTCGCTTACGAATTCCGTCTGTCCGTCCAAACCTGCGATCTTATCGCGCATGAAATATCCGCGACTCGGAATTTGGAATCCGCGAGACTACATTATGGAAGCAGGGCATCCTCCCTCCCCACGTTCGATGCATGCATATTACATGATTGTTTATAATCGATGCCTCCCCCCCTCGGCGACTCGTCGGAGCAGATTTGACCGAAGGTAACTGAAACCGAAAATTCAAGACTCGACACGCTAAATTGGAGTAAATGAAAATGACGCAACAATGGTAAATCAAACTATTGTCATAAATATAATATAAATAGGAGAAAATATGAGAAAAATCTAACAAATTTTTTATCTTTGCACCGTGATTTAATTCTTTATTGCAGCATAACGTGTCTTTTGAATTTATTTGCTATACACTCGGAAAAGAAAAAAGCATATTTTATGCTGGTGACAACTATTTAGGTTTCATATGAGGAATTAATGGATATAAACATATATGGTTGAATAAACTAGCTTATAGTTAGTGCAATTAAAGCTGAATGATTACGAAAACTAAATGTAAAAACTATGTATTTGTCACCACTATGTCTTTTTTCTCTAAATTTATACTGATAATATCATATAAATAACTGTTTCAATAATTTATAATATAATTATCGTACATAATTAACGATTCATATCACATAGTATAATTTATGATATGAATTACCATTAATTATAATATGTACAATAATTATATTATACATATATCAAAAACTGCTTATAATATTTTAAAATTTACGTATCACATTTTTGTTTTTGACAAATTGTATTATATATAATTGTTATGAACATAAATAATATGTAAAAAATTATAATATCATGTAAAAATTCCCCTGCGATATTTTAATATTTATATACTACAGTATTTAACAAATTGTATATGTATAATTTGTTATAAATATAAGTGCTGTAAGTATGTAAA